CAACATATTCAAAAGATAATAGGGTTTTCACAATAAAAAAATTATATCTTTGTGAACAAAGGAGTGGTTTACTTCAGAAGGGCTGAACATTGATTGGTTGTGTTACAATCAAAAAATAAATAAACTGATTGTCGTTTCTTCTAAAAGCGCACATAATGACCATGTCTCATCAATTTAATTTAGAAATTAAGGATTTGACAGGATCGATTTTATGAAGGATTTTTAAAATCAGACCCGAGCCGCTGACTGTGAGTGCGCATGCGCAGCCTTGGTGACGTGTTCTGCTGTGGTCATTACGGCTCGTGCGGATGCGCGTGTTTGTGACCTCGTGGCGCAACGGTAGCGCGTCTGACTCCAGATCAGAAGGTTGCGTGTTCAAATCACGTCGGGGTCAAAACATTATGCTACTCATAATAAACATAAACAAAACCCCAGATTCAAGATGAAAAACTACTGTATTTCTCTTCTCATAATATAAACATGGTGATCCAGTTAAGATATTATTCACAATATTGAATATTTCAGATTGGAAGTTTGCATAAATCCTAGTTTCACACCTACAGCACAATAATCAGATGTAAACACTAGAACATGAGGAGATCATTTGATGTTTAATGACTCTAACAGGTTTCTGCACAGGTTTATTGATAATGCACAGGTTTATTGATAATGCACAGGTTTATTGATAAAGCACATGTTTCTGCACAGGTTTATTGATAAAGCACAGGTTTCTGCACAGGTTTATTGATAATGCACAGGTTTATTGATAATGCACAGGTTTATTGATAAAGCACATGTTTCTGCACAGGTTTATTGATAAAGCACATGTTTCTGCACAGGTTTATTAATAAAGCACATGTTTCTGCACAGGTTTATTGGTAAAGCACAGGTTTCTGCACAGGTTTATTAATAAAGCACATGTTTCTGCACAGGTTTATTGGTAAAGCACAGGTTTCTGCACAGGTTTATTAATAAAGCACATGTTTCTGCACAGGTTTATTGATAAAGCACATGTTTCTGCACAGGTTTATTAATAAAGCACATGTTTCTGCACAGGTTTATTGGTAAAGCACATGTTTCTGCACAGGTTTATTGATAAAGCACATGTTTCTGCACAGGTTTATTGGTAAAGCACAAGTTTCTGCACAGGTTTATTAATAAAGCACATGTTTCTGCACAGGTTTATTAGTAAAGCGCATGTTTCTGCACAGGTTTATTGATAAAGCACATGTTTCTGCACAGGTTTATTGGTAAAGCACATGTTTCTGCACAGGTTTATTGATAATGCACAGGTTTATTGATAATGCACAGGTTTATTGATAAAGCACATGTTTCTGCACAGGTTTATTGGTAATGCACAGGTTTATTGATAAAGCACAGGTTTCTGCATAGGTTTATTGGTAAAGCACAGGTTTCTGCACAGGTTTATTGATAATGCACAGGTTTATTGATAATGCACAGGTTTATTGATAAAGCACATGTTTCTGCACAGGTTTATTGGTAATGCACAGGTTTATTGATAAAGCACAGGTTTCTGCACAGGTTTATTGATAATGCACAGGTTTATTGATAATGCACAGGTTTATTGATAAAGCACATGTTTCTGCACAGGTTTATTGGTAATGCACAGGTTTATTGATAAAGCACATGTTTCTGCACAGGTTTATTGATAAAGCACAGGTTTCTGCACAGGTTTATTGATAAAGCACATGTTTCTGCACAGGTTTATTGATAAAGCACATGTTTCTGCACTGGTTTATTGGTAAAGCACATGTTTCTGCACTGGTGTATTGGTAAAGCACATGTTTCTGCACAGGTTTATTGATAAAGCACATGTTTCTGCACAGGTTTATTGATAAAGCACATGTTTCTACACAGGTTTATTGATAAAGCACATGTTTCTGCACAGGTTTATTGATAAAGCACATTTTTCTGCATAGGTTTATTGGTAAAGCACATGTTTCTGCACAGGTTTATTGGTAATGCACAGGTTTATTGATAAAGCACATGTTTCTGCACAGGTTTATTGATAAAGCACAGGTTTCTGCACAGGTTTATTGATAAAGCACAGGTTTCTGCACAGGTTTATTGATAATGCACAGGTTTATTGATAAAGCACATGTTTCTGCACAGGTTTATTGATAAAGCACATGTTTCTGCACAGGTTTATTGGTAAAGCACATGTTTCTGCACAGGTTTATTGTTAAAGCACATGTTTCTGCACAGGTTTATTGGTAAAGCACATGTTTCTGCACAGGTTTATTGATAAAGCACATGTTTCTGCACAGGTTTATTGCTAAAGCACATGTTTCTGCACAGGTTTATTGATAAAGCACAGGTTTCTGCACAGGTTTATTGATAAAGCACATGTTTCTGCACAGGTTTATTAATAAAGCACATGTTTCTGCACAGGTTTATTAATAAAGCACATGTTTCTGCACAGGTTTATTAGTAAAGCGCATGTTTCTGCACAGGTTTATTGGTAAAGCACATGTTTCTGCACAGGTTTATTGATAAAGCACATGTTTCTGCATAGGTTTATTGGTAAAGCACATGTTTCTGCACAGGTTTATTGATAATGCACAGGTTTATTGATAATGCACAGGTTTATTGATAAAGCACATGTTTCTGCACAGGTTTATTGGTAATGCACAGGTTTATTGATAATGCACAGGTTTATTGATAAAGCACATGTTTCTGCACAGGTTTATTGGTAATGCACAGGTTTATTGATAAAGCACAGGTTTCTGCACAGGTTTATTGATAATGCACAGGTTTATTGATAATGCACAGGTTTATTGATAAAGCACATGTTTCTGCACAGGTTTATTGGTAATGCACAGGTTTATTGATAAAGCACAGGTTTCTGCACAGGTTTATTGATAATGCACAGGTTTATTGATAATGCACAGGTTTATTGATAAAGCACATGTTTCTGCACAGGTTTATTGGTAATGCACAGGTTTATTGATAAAGCACTTGTTTCTGCACAGGTTTATTGATAAATCACAGGTTTCTGCACAGGTTTATTGATAAAGCACATGTTTCTGCACAGGTTTATTGATAAAGCACATGTTTCTGCACTGGTTTATTGGTAAAGCACATGTTTCTGCACTGGTTTTTTGGTAAAGCACATGTTTCTGCACAGGTTTATTGATAAAGCACATGTTTCTGCACAGGTTTATTGATAAAGCACATGTTTCTGCACAGGTTTATTGGTAAAGCACATGTTTCTGCACAGGTTTATTGATAAAGCACATGTTTCTGCACAGGTTTATTGATAAAGCACATGTTTCTGCACAGGTTTATTGATAAAGCACATGTTTCTGCACAGGTTTATTGATAAAGCACATGTTTCTGCATAGGTTTATTGATAAAGCACATGTTTCTGCACAGGTTTATTGATAAAGCACATGTTTCTGCATAGGTTTATTGGTAAAGCACATGTTTCTGCACAGGTTTATTGATAAAGCACAGGTTTATTGTTAAAGCACAGGTTTATTGATAAAGCACAGGTTTCTGCACAGGTTTATTGATAATGCACAGGTTTATTGATAAAGCACAGGTTTCTGCACAGGTTTATTGATAATGCACAGGTTTATTGATAAAGCACATGTTTCTGCACAGGTTTATTGATAAAGCACATGTTTCTGCACAGGTTTATTGGTAAAGCACATGTTTCTGCACAGGTTTATTGATAAAGCACATGTTTCTGCACAGGTTTATTGGTAAAGCACATGTTTCTGCACAGGTTTATTGATAAAGCACAGGTTTCTGCACAGGTTTATTGATAAAGCACATGTTTCTGCACAGGTTTTTTGATAAAGCACATGTTTCTGCACAGGTTTATTGATAAAGCACATGTTTCTGCATAGGTTTATTGGTAAAGCACATGTTTCTGCACAGGTTTATTGATAAAGCACATGTTTCTGCACAGGTTTATTGATAAAGCACATGTTTCTGCACAGGTTTATTGATAAAGCACATGTTTCTGCATAGGTTTATTGGTAAAGCACATGTTTCTGCACAGGTTTATTGGTAATGCACAGGTTTATTGATAAAGCACATGTTTCTGCACAGGTTTATTGATAAAGCACATGTTTCTGTACAGGTTTATTGATAAAGCACATGTTTCTGCATAGGTTTATTGGTAAAGCACATGTTTCTGCACAGGTTTATTGGTAATGTACAGGTTTATTGATAAAGCACATGTTTCTGCACAGGTTTATTGATAAAGCACATGTTTCTGCACAGGTTTATTGATAAAGCACATGTTTCTGCACAGGTTTATTGGTAATGCACAGGTTTATTGATAAAGCACATGTTTCTGCACAGGTTTATTGGTAAAGCACATGTTTCTGCACAGGTTTATTGATAAAGCACAAGTTTCTGCACAGGTTTATTGATAAAGCACATGTTTCTGCACAGGTTTATTGATAAAGCACATGTTTCTGCACAGGTTTATTGGTAAAGCACATGTTTCTGCACAGGTTTATTGGTAAAGCACAGGTTTCTGCACAGGTTTATTGATAAAGCACATGTTTCTGCACAGGTTTATTGGTAAAGCACATGTTTCTGCACAGGTTTATTGATAAAGCACATGTTTCTGCACAGGTTTATTGATAAAGCACATGTTTCTGCACAGGTTTATTG